CCTCCTCCTCCTCCTCCTCCTCCTCCACATTCCTGGGTGGATCAGTCCCTGGGGGGACCGGGACACATTCCTCAGAGCTTTGTTGGTCTCCTGATGCTGCTGTGGTGAAAGCTTCATGTCTGCAGCAGGACCACAGTGAAGGAGGATCAGAGGAGCTGCAGGTGGTTTTGTTGGACTCCAGGTCCAGACCAGGTCTTCATGATGAAGCTTTGAAACAGGGAGCAGGTAAAGGTGTCACAGCCACGTGTACAGTGGTAGAAAAGGGTAATCTGCTGAGTTTTAACCATTTAAAGACTAAATCTGGACTGGTTGATCAAGATCAACACAGATGTTTACAGATTATTAGGAGAAACAGGTAAAAACTAATACTTTAGAAGGTCTACGAGGAGAAACCTGTGATGACCTCATCACTGTACCAGGACAGGCAGGAAACATCGACAGTTTGTTCATGAAAGAAAAGGAAGTGATGATGGTCTCAGTGAGGAAGACTGGTTCAGATTAAAACACTGCACCTGGCTGAGGATGTCACCTGTCCTCAGGTGTGCTGGAGTCTCTGGGCTCAGACTGATGTAGGCCAGGTTCTGGTCCTGTCACAAGCTAACAGCACAACAGAAACCTTCAAGGTCTCCATCTACACCTGTTCTTCTGCTAGCTGCTAGCTTCAGCTGCTAGCTTCAGCTGCTAGCTTCAGCTGCAACATAAACTGTTCATATTCATTTAGAAACTGTTGGATGTTTGGATCTCCTTGGAGCAGAGCAGGTGGGTCAGGTGGGTCAGGTGGGTCAGGTGGGTCAGGTGGGTCAGGTGGGTCAGGTGGGTCAGGTGGNAAGATCAGATTTGATTTTGTTTGAGGCTCAGGTCTGACAGGAAACCAGACTCTCTGGGTTCTGGTCCTCATCAGTTCTGAACCAGACTCTCTGGGTTCTGGTCCTCATCAGTTCTGGGAGCAGACGAGTCTTTTGGACTCACCCTCTGAAGATTCTGTAGCGTGTCCCTGGAGGACTGCCGGGTCCCGGGTCCCAGCGGAGGACATGTTGGAAGTTCAACGAGCTAACCGTGAGATTAACGGGAGCAGGAAGAGACCAGAGAGCTGCGGGGACAGGAAGTGAGACAGTGAGGACAGGAAGTGAGACACTGAGGACAGGAAGTGAGACACTGAGGACAGGAAGTGAGACAGTGAGGACAGGAAGTGAGACACTGAGGACAGGAAGTGAGACAGTGATGAGGACAGGAAGTGAGACAGTGATGAGGACAGGAAGTGAGACAGTGA